TTTTGCAGGTTTGCCCACTTACAAAGAATGCAACGATCTATAACTTTAATCATATGTACATTCTAACAGTGAAAGTCAGAATCCCAAAGAAAATTCCAGAAAATCACATCATATGAATTTATAAAAATTGATAACCATCTGATGAGGAAAAATAAGCATTCTTTGTAAGTGGGCAAACCTGCAAAATCAGCAAGGGCTCAAATACTTATTTCCCCCACTGTATGTATTACTAGTTATTATCCCCTTAACAAGAAAAAAATGAATATTTTGGGTTCATGTAGGCTTGTAACTGAAGAACATGTGGGAAATGTTCCAGTGAGGCTGTAGATAGAGAACATGGTGCCTGGAAAAAGAGGTAAAAAAGCTCTGAAACACAGGTTGGAGATCATTTCCCTGGAAAAGCCATTAGGCTGCTCCCTGCCTGGTGTTGTGGGTGTGTTTTTTTTGTTTTTTTTCCCAGGAGTCCATGAAAAACTTCACAACTTCTCCCCAAAAGTCCCGGAGGATCGTCTCAGTAAGTTGAGGGGAGAAACAGGACAGAGAACCAGAACCGAGAAAAACAGCTTCAAACCATCAGAAATCTGCATTTGTGATTTAACCCTTTAAAGCCTGAATAAAACAAAACAGAAAAATTCATTCCAGCAGTGATGAATGCATCCAAAACCAGTTAAAAGTTTGTTAGAATTGAGTCAAATTGAGTTAGTTTCCCATAAAAAAATAAAGAAAATTGGTCTGCCAGGTATAACTTCCTTTAACCCTTTAAAGCCTGATCCAAGAATAAAACAAAACAGAAAATTACTCTTTTTTTGCTTTGAATTCCTTATTTGGCCTTTCAACAAAATATGTAAAAAGAAAAAACAGAAATACATTTTTTATATTAATAATTTATCACTATGCGATAAATCCAGATTATTTTTGTGTATCTTCTGCCCCCTGTTATCAGGTGTATCTGATTGTGTACAATAGGATTTAGAGCAAAGTTTTTACCATTAAATTATGCAAAAGGAGTCAGACTCAAAACATTTCAGAAACAGTATGAATCAAATATGATACGTTTGGCATTATAGGGTTAAAAAACTCATTCTAACCCGAGATGTGATCACTGTAAAATTAAAAATAAATCATTTTAAAGTCAGTTTTGGTTTATTGTACGTCAGAAAACATACTGAGCATCTCGTATGGTCATATTCAGATTTCCCGGCAGGAAAAATCTGGAGATAAAAAGCAGAACAGTTTTAAGAGTTTAATGAACAGCCCTCTTTAAAACTAAATAATGTGGATTAACCTCTGTGGACCAGACTGCTCCAGTTCTGGATACAAACCTCAGTATTTCCTCTGCATTCCTCACTTCTGTTTTTATGCCACAGTAAATCTTTGCTGCTTCACACTTTTTACCATCTATTCTCCCTCCTGTGGAGTTAAATAGTTCAGTTTTTTTGACAGCGTAACTCACCTTTTTACCAGCTACGTTTCAGGAAAAAGAAAAAGAAGAAGCTTCTTCTGGATTCCTGCTTTTTCAGAGGCGTATTTCATCCAAATGCTGCCCGACAACCGCGTAATCGTGCATTAAATATGCCAGTTATAGTCTGTTTTTAGGGAAAAAGGGATACTAGACCACAGAGTTTGAGCATCTTGCAGTAAAACAGCTAATCTGAGGTGGATTAAGATGTTGGCAAATTCTTCTACCTGTGGCGTCCAGATATCCAAGTATCCATACAGTGGGGGAAATAAGTATTTGAGCCCTTGCTGATTTTGCAGGTTTGCCCACTTACAAAGAATGCAACGATCTATAACTTTAATCATATGTACATTCTAACAGTGAAAGACAGAATCCCAAAGAAAATTCCAGAAAATCAC